ACCTGGGGTGGTTTCAAACTAACTATGGGTCATGGGAAGGTTTCCATTGCAGCACCTTAGTCATGCAGGGTTCTAAAAATTTGTTCCTAATGCTGTTTGAGCGGCCACAACGTATCGTTGATTCTGAAAGTGGTAACTTTTATCGGCTTCGCTCATTACTCATCTGTCCTGAGACTCTGTGAGCCTTTACACCCAAAACCTGTTCTGGAGGCCATGCTGGACTTGCGGGTTTTTCTTTGCTTCTGTTTTTGAAGCAGTCCAGTAGCATGAATTTCATTACATGCAGAGGAATATATCTTTTCTACAAATTCCTTTCCTGTAATAAATAACTATAAAAATGAGTTGCAGTAGCTTTTTTCCATAATGATTCCACTTATTTCTTCTCTTCCCTGTAAGTTTTGTATTAATATCAAAGGTTTTATATTAATACTCAAACTTCTTTTTTTTTGCCTAAAGAACGGGTTTTTATCTTGCTGATACAACTTCATAAAAATTTGACAAAATACTACCTCTGAAAATTCCGTATTCATCTGGATATATTGATGTAGCATAAAGCAAAAGGACAAATCACTTCTAAGCAATTTAGAAAACTAAGTTAGTTTGTTCACAAGCTGATTGCGCTTTTTTTTCCCTGTAGCATTGAGAGGATTGCAGTGGCAATTGTAAGGACATTTAAAATCATGACAAGCTCAGTCGGACAGAAGAAAGTCTCCTCCAGACAAAGGAAGTGTGGGTTCTGTCGGTCGAATAAAGATAACGAATGTGGGCAGTTACTGATGTCGGAGAACCAGAAGGTGGCGGCACATCACAAATGTATGGTGAGTGACCGGGAGAGGGATGGAGCCGGGAAAACACGTGGAAAACCCAGCCACGCTGGGATTGGCACACACGGTTAACCACTGCAGTTTGAAATTTTTGTGGGTCTCATGTCTGTAAATGTTCTCTGTCGCTTGTACCCTTAAAAATTGAAGTTCTGTCTTTGCCATTTTAGCTCTTCTCGTCCGCACTGGTTTCTTCACACACTGATAATGAGAGTCTTGGCGGATTCTCTATTGAAGATATTCAGAAAGAAATAAAGAGAGGCACTAAACTGGTAAGTGTTTTTGGCCCTTGAAAATGGGAGGTAATATTTTCATAACTTCCTGAAGTTTACAATGAAGTTGTTCAGTGTATTAGATCTGTGTGTTTATTTTTTAAAAGTGCTACCTTTGTGTGAGCTCTAAAACAATTTACAGAAGATGATGTTGAAGTGAAATTGGTCTCAGATTTACAAACAGAAAACCTCAGTAGGCATGATTATCCTTATATTGAAATGAAATTTAAAGGGCAGTTAACCAACCTTTGAAGCGTCTTTAGGAAAGGATAAAAAGGGACTTTGGTTATTTCAGTCAAGTTCTGCTCTCATGTAAACAGGTTATTTTAAGAATTATAGCTTAGTCATGTAATTATTAAAAAAATACATATTTCATTCACTGCTTCTTCGATTTGAATTTTTTCCAACGCACAGAACTTTATTTGCTGTTGTGAGCTGAAGCATAAAGAAATAACTGTTCACAAGTCATTGATGTTGTGATTAGGAATTTCCAGAGAATGTGATAGTAAATGGATCTACAGATCATAAAGAAAGTTCTTCATTCTTCAGTCTCATAAAGGTTTTTTAAAGGTTGTTTCTTTTTCTGTCTGTGGTGGTTTCTGTCTTTTTTGCTTCTGAACCTCTTTACGTTCCTTCTCTGATGCAACAGCTGGATAGATCCTTGGAGCTCGATAGCTGTATGTACCAGGCACTTTGTTCAGCTTTTTGCAGAAAACCTGGATCTAGTTAAATCTAGTACATTCACAGTCCTGAGATGTTTCCTGTTTGAAGAAAATGTGCAAGATAATTTTAGTTCCTAGGTGCCTTATCTCTGTCTGTGGCTGTCAGAAAGCTGCAGCTCTGAATCACTCTCTGGAAGAACTTGTCTTTATCAACATTGTGTAGGAAGCTCAAAGGTAAATGTTTTTAGTAGCCCAAATGCCCATTCTCAGCTCTGCTTCTGGTCTAGCCTGGTCTTTTATGGGGGAACACATTGGCAAAAGTATTTAGTGGCCTGGGGTAAGTAAATATATTGATAGCTTGGACTGAATTTGTCTTCTGACAGAATTTCCATGGTCGCCCTCCTTCAGGAGGTGCTGCTGGCCAGGTGTGGAAATGGAGACTGTTCGTCACCAGAGTGACAGTGACTGACATGTGGAGCCCTTCTGAGGGCGGTCTAGATCTGTCTGAGAAAGGGTTGTAGGTTCTAACCTTAATAAGCTAGTTATAATATATAGTTGGAGTTTTTTGGCATACAAGGCACTGATATCTTCATTATTTCTGGTGCCTGTGCATGGGAGGATTGTTTCTTTTAAGAATGGACTCGTTTTGCAGCTTATCAAACTTCACATGTACCTGATGTAACTTGGGAGTTAATGACCGTGGCCATTTGAACAACCCAACTTGTACCAATGGAATAAATGCTTTATTACTGTCAGGAAACATAGATCAATAAATGACTATGAAAATTTCTGTAGTCTGTTTTGTTCATACAGATACATCATGATGTTCACAAAAAAAATATTTATTTTAATCCCTTCTGGCTTTCAAAAAACTTGAGATACTGACTAAAACTGATTGGATGAATACTATTTCAGCCAAGATTTTTATAAAGGACTTTGATCAGCAATTACTATGTGTGAAACCATAATGTATAACAGATTTATGCAATAAAATACCCATACAAATTAGAGAACAACGAGGGAACAGTATATAACTACCATTTCAGAGCTTGCAGAGGAGTAGATGGAGATGATCCAAGGCTTTGACATTTTTACTGTTCAGTTGACTTTGTTGAAATTGAAAAGCAGGCTGCTGGTATATTTGGTAACTTTGGTGGTATTTTTTTTGGGCATATTTGAGACTTAACGGGAAGAACTTGACTAAGGGAGTGCTGTGGACAGAAACTGTAACTCGGTAAATCTGTGTAGCAGGTATCTGACATTGCACACTTAGGCTTTATTTTCAGGAATTGTAACCTTGTGGGGGCACAGGCAACATGCAAGGATACAAAGAAAAAGCTCCAGTTGTCTTGGGAGGTGAACTTAATAGGAGCTTCTGACATTTTGGGGCAATATTACATCAGTATAAAATAACACAGAGAAAAATGCTATGGTGCTGTCGATGACTTCCTTACCTACCACAGTGGAAGGAGCAAGAGCAATTGTACCAGGACCAGGATAGCTGATGTATCCTAAACAATGATGTGTCCAATATGAGAAGAATTAATTACTGGGAAAGAAGAGTCAAGCATCAAGCTCACTTTTAACCTTCTCTGCAATACAAATAGCAAAAACTAGGCTAATGAAAATATTGTATTTGACAAATATTTCGCCAAATTCAGCGTTTTGGAAAGGGCTTAAGGAAATAACTATAGGAAAAAAAGGTAAAGTTAGCTGCTGATGCTGAGGTAAATTTGCAGGTCATCAGTACTTCTAACTGCAGGATTCATTGCCAAATGGTGTCTTTTTTTTTTTCCTCCTACCATCATAATGTGATTCAGAATTAAACAGATACAATTTATGATTTTAAATTTTCTGAAATGGTTGGTACAAACAGCTAATCCTTGGGAGGAGGATACTTAAGTGAATAGATGTGTCACATTCATCAGACACATTCCACAAAACCAAATTCCTTATTTTCTTCATTGAATTGATAATCAACATAAGATGGTTATTGCACTGCTGCGTAATTGCAACAGATTTCTTGATTTTAAAATGAATTACGAGAAACATTTGAGAGCAGGAAGAGTAATGTTAAGTGCGTAAGTCCATTTATTTTGTCACCAGGAGTGGTATTGGTATTATTTTTGAACTCTGAAGTACTAAACCACCAGTAATGTGAATTTTGCTTTCTTTTTCTTTCCAGATGTGCTCTTTATGCCACTGTCCCGGAGCAACCATTGGCTGTGATGTGAAAACGTGTCACAAGACATATCACTACTACTGTGCTTTGCATGATAAAGCTCAGATAAGAGAGAAACCTTCACAAGGCATTTACATGTAACTATTATTTATTTGTTATATCTGGGTTTTTGTATTTGTAATTTACATTCTTTGTTTAAAAAACAAACAAGTACAAAGCAAAACAACCCACTTTGGAATCTAAACAAAACTGTTACAAAAATTTCTCATGATGATTGTGGCATTCAAAACAGTGATGTGCTAGAAAAGCATATTTTCACTGCAAGATTTATGTATCAGTGAGTTTTACAAGTGGGAGAAAAATGTACTGGCATTTAAATTTAAAAGATGAGTAAATAATCTGTGAATCGTGACTGACTTGACAGTTTTCAACTACTTTGTTTATAGGATTTTATGTCGAAAACACAAGAAAACTACGCATAACTCTGAAGGTAAAATTATTCAATATAAATTTTTCCCATTGTAGAAAGATATTTGGTTAAATTTAATTTTTCAGGAGAATATAAATGTTTTCAGTAAAAATTAGAACTACATTTTTTTGAGAAACAGTGAGTTTGGAAGCCCATCTGATCTCTGTATTTTCTCTAAAAACTATTGGTTGAGGTTGGAGAAAAACCAAATCATAAACTTTGGGATGTTCAAAAGATATGATGCTCCATAAAAATGAAGTTTGGGTAGAAGTTATTCCTTTCTGGGAAGAAGCTGGCTTATATTTGTAGTCAGATATTAGCAATATTACCATCTGAAATATTTTGTCAGGTAACAGCTGATTTTTGTTATTGCTAATGTTCCTAAATATTCACTGTTTTTTTGGAACTATTAAATAGAGTTTAACTCTTTAAAGAAGAAGGACCCAATAGTAAATTAAAAGACCTGTGATCAGTTCACTTACAAATGTATTTCTGAATCATTTTGATAAAAAAAAAGTTGTACGGATGCATTCATAAAAGCTGTGGATCTTTGCAGAGAAGAGTAGTGAAATGCCACAAATGTAGATAAATGTGTGGTCTGTTAAAATTCCAAACTAGTTGTGCTGTTGTGTATTTATGAAGGTATTTTTCCTTTTTCTGCTGTATGTGAGTTTGGGTAAGAGAACAGTTGGTGGTTTACTTCTTACATTGCTTTGCCCTGAAATGTCATCAGACTTAACTAATGAGGAGTACATGACTGTTTAGTGAACATGACATTTCATAAATTACTTCAGTCTCTGTGCCAAATATATTTTTAAGGTAATTTACTGCTTTTTATGCTGTGGGTAGTAGCTCTATTAATGGTAAGGTTTGGATGCTACTTCAGTGTTCAGAAGGATACTGAAAGCAGTAGAAAATTGCAAATTAAAATTAATTTCTTCTTTTTATTCTATTTATATAATTATTATCATGTGCTTTTTATATAAACCTCTCTTGATTTTGCTATTACTGGGGTTTAAACAAGAAAAATAATATATGTGCTTTATTAGTTCTCCAAAGAGATGGGGTCATGTTATCTTGTAGTTTGTGACTTTGTTTCTTTGTTTTGGGGGTTGTTTTGTGTGTTAGCAGAAACAGGATATGAAAAACATTTGAGTGCAAAGAGATTATCTCTTTAACTGATATTTAAATACAATCTTTTATACTTGCTCTGTGTTTGATGTGTATTGAAAAATGCCTTCAATTTTGTGTGGAACCCAAAGCCAATGGATGCCTTTTTCTGCTTGGAATTCCTTGCAGGATCTGAACTTGTATTTTCCTGTAAGAGTTTTCAGATACCATTATCTCTGGTTTTATGATGTCATTTTCTAACAGCAAAGGCTATTAAATTTTATATGGATATTTTGTCTGGGAAGACCTGGGAAAAATTACTAGAGGCATAGGGGCTTTTTTTTCTTAAATGTTGATAATGGCATTTTATTAAAATGTTAAAATAAACTCATCTCAAGAGACTTCGATTGAGGGTAGGAGAGGAGGAATAAACAACATCACTCAGAAAAACTGAGGACAAAGAGCCCAATAGTATATTATTTAGCATTTCACTTTGCACAATTTTTTTTAAAAATATTTAGTTCTGTTATGCTTTGCTCTTCCAGAAATGTGTTTAGTTATACTTCACATTTTTGTTTTCTGGTTTTTTTTTATTTGACTGAAATTCCACCCAGTGCTCTTTCCCGAAGAATGTTCTCTTTTCAGTCCATACAGTTTATGATAAACCGTACTCATAAAACAGTTATTATTTATGGTTATGGATTTGATAATACCAGAAGCTGGGGTTTTTTTTGTGATAGACCTCCTTTAAATCAAAGAAAGTAGAAATACATATTGCATCTGCTGATACAATGCTAGAAGTAATTTCCATAGCAATGGTATTTTGCTGCGTTGAAAACTAATTACCTTTAGCAGACAGAAAAATACAGAGTGGTTTTCAGGATTTCAGAAGGGACTTCAGAGAGTTTGTTTCTTAATATTTAATTGCTGAAGTTTGCTCAGTGAAATGACACCTGGAAGGTGTTGGATGGTGAGATTAAGCTTTATATATATATTTTGTTTGTTTCTCGATGAAAATGTGACTGCTTAGGAGGCATTTAAATGTGAAAGAATGGTAGTGTTTGAAACCAGAAAGAACTTGGCAGAGAAGAGTGACTAGAGGAGGTAGTGAAACTAGATTCTAATGTAATGGCTTTTTGTGAATCTTGTTTTAGTTTCATTTTCGTTAATCTTTGCTCTTAGCACTGTTTTCATAACAGAATAGTTAAAGCTCAGCTGTGGTTCTGTCACTCAGTGTAGGTGCACAGAGGCCCTGGAACTGTCAGTCCTTTTTAATGGAAACTTACTGCTCCTGCTCTGGGGTGTGGTGTGGTTGGGGGTTTTTTATCGTTATTATTTTGTTGTGGGTTGTTTTTTCTCCTTGGCCAGTTTAGAGTGTCTCTGGGTTCTTATCCTTTGTTCTCTGTAACCAGACTGATTTGTTGCAGTCCAAATACTCTTATTATGTCACTTATGTTAGGGGATGTTCAAAGAGTTTTTAGGAGTGTTTGGTTTGGTGCAGCCCAGAGCAGTTTATTTTCTGTAGGCAGCACTGCTGCGCAGCAGTGAGATTTTTCTCTCACTTCCCTTCCCTTCCCTAGAAAATAGATGCTTTGGGGTCATACTTGTTCAAGTTTGAAATCTGCCTTGTGTACTAAATTCTAGTTTAAAAAGACTATGTTAACCATTTAACAACAGTTCAAGAAAATTCCTGGAGGCTGCATGGAAATGTAGTTGAAAAGACCGATGTTGGAATTAAGTTACCCACTAAAACTTAGGAAAAAAGACCTCTTTAATGTTATTTGTTGCTGTCATGAAATTCAAGTGGGGTGAGGATTCATCAGACTTGGTATCTACTCATCAAGACAAAATTTATGAGTAATGGGAGTTACTCTTCCTTTAATTGACAGGTGTTGCTGAATTACCTTCTGCTTTATTTGAATATAAAAATGTGAAACATGGCAGCAGAGTATTGTGCTTTTAAATTCATTATCTATTTCAGGAGATTGTTGGGTTTTTCTGATTTATCTATATGGCCTGACCTTCAGGTGACATAAAATAGGAAAACTGTATTTCTCCTATATTTCCTTTGTGTGTTTCAGAGTGATTCTTCTGTGCTGTGTTCCCATGAACTGGAAAAAGGACATTTAGATTTTTGCCTTGGTGTTCACGAATCTAACAAGATAACTTTTCCTGAACTTGAGATAATAGCTTAATTCATAATTTTAGGCAAGCTCTCTAAGTTTTCAGTACCTAATAGGTTACAGGGGTTGTGCCAGTGCTTTCAAAAGATCACAGCTAACTATTACTTGAATTACTGTTCAGTTTGATACAATTGCATTTATTCTTTTTGAAGAATAGAGTATTGTTGAACTAAGGTTTTGGAACTGTTTGTTAGGATTTATTCCAATGTACTGGAAGTAATTGTTGAAAAATGAAAAAAACTGGTCTCTCTCATTTCCCTGCAGGTGGGGCTGCCCTGGCCTGTGTGTTGAATTTAGAACAAATTCAGCTGATCAGGAATAGTTTGATATAAACTAAGATAAGAATGCAATTTCATTCTTCTGTTATGTAATGGTAAAACAAAGACCAACAAAACAGCCATGACTTCAGCTCATAATATTCAAAGCAGATGCTCACGAACTGTTGGGTCAGAAAATAAAATGTCCCCAATTCCTGTCATAGCTGTGCTATAGCCTCAGAGAATGGTGTTTCCACAATGGAAATAAGGACATTCCCTGTCTCAGCGTCCCTTTCATGTTATTCTAAAGATCAAACATGGAATCTGTGCTTCTCATACTGCTCAGTAAGTTGACTCAGGGTAATATTTCTCTGTGAGACCTATTTAGAAACATTGCAATCTATAGTGAACTGAGCATTTTTTCAAAGCACTGTGTAAGCCAGAGTTTGGCAGGTAGAACATCTGAAACCTTTTGGCATTATAGTTTGGTAATGTTCTGATTCACCTCTGGCTTCTTAAAGCAGTGTTTGTTCCCTGTTGCATTTTCTGTAGCAGTGGTCCCGGCATAAGCTTTGCTCACATTAAAGCAGTCGGGGGTAACAGTTTCTGTAACGTTGCAGTTTGGAGTCATTTCGTTTCTGCTGGTGGATGGTGACAAATCCTCGCCAGGCTCTGCTTGTTGTCTATCTTCTGGAGAACGCCCTGGATGTGGCATCAAATGTATATTTGGTGTTCCCACAAAGACGGTTGGTCCAGGCAGTAAATCAGTGGTGTCCCCCAAGAGACTAACGGGGGTTTGTGCAGAAGCATCACAATTGTGTTTTCTTATGGAAAAACACACAGCTAAAGGAAAAGGAAAGGTGTCATCATGTGGTGAATGGTGTGTCCTGTCTGAGGAGCTGTCCCCTGGTGTTACACAAACAGAAACTTTGTCAGCTACTCACACTGAACAGGTTTATCACACCAGGGTCAGAAGCTTTGTGATTGTGCAGATAAGCTAGGTGTACAGTCTGTCTTCAGTCTTTGCCAACATTTGTTTGCTTGAAAAATCGTTTAGATTGTGTTGTTATGAAGGACTATTTCATTCATTTTCTATGTTAAATGTACTTAAACAAATAATCTCAAGTATCTCATATAACATAGATACTATTCAGTCAGAAATAACTTTTGAACAAGAGTCATCAGTTCCTTGAAGTATCTGAATGTAAGGGGTAATTTAATCTTTTTCCTCTCCGGTCTTACTTTAGTTTCGATATGTTTCATGTAACTTAGTCTTTTTCCACTGAAAAAGAAACCCCAAAAATTATATTCAGAATTTTGATTGCTAATTTCTCATCACTTGCTGATAATAACGTGTATTATTTCATGATCAGTTTACCTGATTTTGTATTTGCTTGCAAGGGCTTTTATGCAAATCTCTGGTTCTTATTAATGCTTATAGATGCATTCACATTTTTGATATTGATTACTGGGCCAATAAAGCTCTCTGGGTTTTTTTGACATTTCTTTTCAATTTAAAATAATTGTGTTGGCACATACAGTTCATTGGGTTTCAGCCATATTTTATGGAAATATGACTTTAACATGCTGAAGTAGTTTTTTCTTCATTATATTCCATTTCTTTTCTAAAAATCTAATAAGATCGATTTTGTTCCTTGAATTTTTAGTTTCTCTTTTATCCCAAATGCACTGTAAAACTTTAACTACACGTATGTGATTTCAGATTTACATAGCAACATGTCTAAGCCACTTCCACATTCTACATTTTGGCTTCTTTTTATGTCCAGTCTTACTTGCAAATTTTGCCAGTCAGTTTTGTTTATTGTCTTCCTCATGCAAACTCAGCCCCCCTTTGCTTCTGCCTTGCTTAGTCTGTTGTTAGGTAATGTAGGAGGTGATAGAGCAGTATTTATTGTACACATCCTCTTTTTATTTTTTCTTTCACAACCTTTAAATCACTTAATTCTTTTATTACTTTTCTTTAACCCGGCTTTTGTAAAGGGGTGATTCCGTGTGTGTTTCAAGCTGATGCAATATGGATCAGTGATATCTCAAGCTCTTCTCTGCCAAGCCTGATTTTAAACAGCAAAACATCTCGATCCTTTTCCTTTCTAGTCATGATCAAAGGAGAATTTTTAGAGTTCTCTCTGAAGCTGAATCTCCCTGTTAACAGTTTATGTAATACAGCATTTTGCCAGGCTTCTTTCTGTGGTACTTAGTACTGTTTATGGATTTCTAAAATGCAAATTGGGGGCTCCTTGCTGCTCATCTTTTTTCATATCTGAATTTACAATATCATATTCTTAAGTGCCTTTTAAAATGTAGATTGTTTCCTCTTGATTTCTACTCTTACCTTCCTTTCTCAGGCCATACTGTGTATTAAGCTCATTTTTTCACATCTAGCATTTAGGGACTTCTGAGGGAAGCTCATAGGAACCTCCTTTGAAGATCTTAGATACTAAGTTGTGTTGAGAATATTTGATGATTTTAAAAATCAATGCAGTAGTGGGATATGGGATGGGGAGCAGTTGACGAATATCTAGGGAGTCTCAGGGGATCCAGAGGATGGGTGATACCCGTGATAAAACATCGCCTGGTCAGGGAGGAGTTGAACAACTGTTTGTGTTTTCCTTAGTTCAAGCTGACATGAGAAGTTGGAAACACCCAACCATCAGATGCCAGGGACACAGGGTAAGCTGGCAGTGGGCTCGAGGGGAGGGGTAGGGCACCAACCACATTGTATAACATAAAGACCATCCAAGGCAGGTGTGTTTGACATCTGATTACAATCCCTTCCTGCTCTGTTGTGTGCGTGCATAGTGCTATAAAAACAGAGAAATGTTACTGGTTTGAGGTATCAGTCTTGCAGGATATAGATGTGATAGAGCAGATCCTCCCATCTTGGTGCTGTTAATCTGTAGGTCCATGTCACCTGTAGTAGGAGACGCAAATCTGCAAGGAATTGTATTTTAGTGAAGGGGTCATGTAGCATCTGGATTTCAATGAAGTCTGAACTTTTCTAGAAGTCCTAGTTTTGAGCACAGAGAGGGGTTCTCCTTTGAGGAAAGCTGTGCAATCTTGATGTCTTTTATCTTACTCTGAAACCATCTTTTAAAAATGCTGCATTTTTACTTTTCCACTCTTAAATATACTAATAATTGTAGATTAAAAACATAGCATTTAAGAACTTATTCTATTTGAAGGCTGTGCCATTTCTTATAAAAGCTTGGGTTTCATAAGGTATATTTTGGTTTTTAGCAATTATGATTCACTTCTGTTTTTGTGACTGTGGCTGCTCAGGACATGCTTTAATGCTGTGTAGAAAATAAGGGTGAACTAAAAGGTTGAAAGCATTTTGGCTGAGAGAATTGGTAAGGAGCTTTGGAAAAAATAAGGAGTGTTGGTGCATGGACTGCATTTTGCTTTATCCGATACAGTAGGGAGGGAAATCCATGGATTTATTTTGGAAGGAATATTTTTGGCTTCTTACTTATGTTATTTAAAGGGTGCTGAATTCAGTAGTCATATTTTTATAAGATTTTTTTTCTAGAATAACCATCTATGATTTCTGTACACGTAAAAATAGCAACAGAGATTCACAAATTTAGTAGTTGGTGGAGAGTTTGTATTATGAGGAACAAGATAAAAGAGAATTCTCTTTGAAAAAGGGTTTCAGGATGCAATAAAATTTGCTATATGCAGTCTGAGAGGTTGATATCTAAATTGCATAATCTTGCTTGGGGAATTTAACAAGTGATTATAAATGAGAAATGTCAGGAAATTCTGAGAAGAAAATGTACAATGTATTGTTTTTTTAGAATAATCTATGTCACTATGTATTAAATTTTTTCAGAGTGAAATAAATGGTACTTTTGACATCTAATTATAGAATAGTCTATGTATACTAAACCATAGGGACGTTGTAGACAGACTGATGTATTTTAGTAGCAATGTGGGCATATCTGTGTATAGGTGAACAATCTGTCAATCTAAACCAAAATAATGTGCAGATCTGTATAAATTTCAGTATAGCCTGTTGTGCTTCATTTGGATTCGTTTTCTGTCCTTGATCAGGGAGTTGAATCTGTAGCTTTCTCAGGGATTAGCAGCAGATCCCATAGACAAGCTGGACGAGATGTTCTCGTGTGCCAGGCTGGGGCCAGGCCTTCAGTTGTTTTCTGCTCCCAGCTGGTGGCTGTGGAATATGTTCAAGACTGACTTCTAATGCTTGTGTGGTTGGGTTGCTGTTACCATGAGACAGAAATGTGATCTGATTTTTATGTGATAATAGGTAAGAAAGACGAGTTCTGGCAAGGCAGCACTTAGTCTCAAAATAAGATGTCCTGTCTGGATACTAAAACCGTATGGCAATGTCCACAAAGTGGATGTTCCAAATCTTATGATTACTGTTTCCTTTTGTCTGGGGGCTCATAGTGATGTTTGTGGTTTGGATTTTGAGAAGAAAAGTCCTTCAGCAGGGTCTGTACGTGTTTCTTTAAATAAATCTGCTGAAATGTCTTTGCATTTGGATGAGGGTGGGTGTTACATATTTAAAAAATATGCAACCAGGAAAGTTGTTAGTGGCTGAATTGAGCTGGTTATTAGATATAGTTATCAGATATAACCTAACTAGATCATATTGGAAGCAGTCTTAAGCTTCTAGAATTGATCTGTATTATCCATAGAGCCTTGAGTTCTCCAAAGGACAGTCTGCTGGAATGCTGGGTTACAGCTCTGTAGCATTCACAGCTGAGCTGACATTTTCAAAGGAACTTGTCAGACCTCTTTTGAACATCTGTATTAAAAACATACATTCTTACATTCTTAATGATCTGTAAATACTTAATCTGGGATGTTGTCAGTGTGGATGGTTTTCTGTAAAATGGCAGCTGTTTTTAACTGCAGATGTAAAAATATACTATCACAAAGTGAAATTGTGGATTTGTTTCATGAAGGCAAAATATGTTTCAATTTTAAAACTTAATGTTATAGCCAAATAGGTGAATTTTCTTAAGTCAGCAGGCATAAGTTAATAAAGCAAGGACAGTGGTGTTTGGGTACACTGGCATAATATCAAGGGCATTTTACACTGGGGTATGGATCTTAAAATAATAAATTAAAAACTTATCTCATGGATGAAAACATTTTCTGGTTCCAGTGTTATTTTCAATAGAGGTGAAGATATGTATCTGAGGACACATTTTGAATCTGAAAGTAGAAGCTGTAAGAAATGCTAACCTTGATGTATTATGTTATAAAGATGCAAAGCTGAATTGTTATAAAGAAATAAATCATGGTTTTAGGATCTACAGTTGCATGTTTGTAATTCAGAAAATACAGGTTATGTTTTTTCTTGCCTAATTTTGGTGGGTTGTGGTGGTTTTTTTGTTTTGGTTTGGGTTTTTTTCCTTGATTTGTTTTGTGTAAAATTTGCAAGAATCCTATTTGATGATGTTTTCTGACTTCTAAAGCAGATTTAGAAGAAAGTATCAATGAACACGAGCTGGAGCCTTCACCTCCCAAAGGAAAAAGGAGGGGCCGTAAGGGAAAGCCAAGAAAAACAAATTTAAAAGGGCAATCAGAAGACACTAGATCTACGTCCTCACATGGCACAGATGAAATAGAAAGCAGTTCCTATGTAAGCAGTAAATATGCTAAACTTCTTAGAAGACAGAATTGCATATTTCTTCTCTGCAAATATAATTTTTAATAAAATTTGCAATTGTCTGAGCCTCCAGCTGGTGGCCACAGGCTTTTGAAATTGCAGCCTTATTTGTAACCCAGCAGTATATTTTAGTAAAATGTTTTTCTTTCAGAGAGACAGGTCTCCCCACAGAAGCAGCCCCAGTGATACAAAACCTAAATGTGGATTCTGTCATGCAGGTGAAGAAGAAAATGAAGCTAGAGGAAAGCTTCATATATTTAATGCCAAAAAGGCTGCAGCACACTATAAGTGCATGGTGAGTAACAGTGTTGTTGTTAACCAGTCTGTTCTGTGAATTTTGTCTGAATTGCTATTTTAGATTTTAATACAGTGCCCTCACATGTAATTATGCTTGAGTATTGTCTGTGTGCTGATGATCTCTTTAAGCACTGAAGTGTTGCAAAGTGAGCAATTCATTTATTTTCACTGCAGGCAATATGGATAAAAGTTGGCTTCATGCTAGGAGATGGAATTAGCTCAGGGAGACTCTTTAGCTTATTAAAAATGCTCCCGTAGTGTCTAAATGCATATAAGTTTTTAAAAAGGAAAACAGAAAACAGTTTTAACTAAAAGGACCCACTCCAAAAATTAAATAGATTTACTCCACAGGCATTCAGACAGATTCTCGGAAGAATCCATGAACTTCGTTAGTTTTCTGACCTGCGGATTCAGACTGGGAGGCTCAAGTAGAGTGGGATATGGAAGTTCTAGAAAACCCTTGACCTTAGATGGTCATGTTTATAGAGCTGTCAGCCTGAACAGAATCTTAATTTCAATGAACGTGAGCAGACAGGGCAATCTTTCTTATAACTTGTTGAATGAATAATGTAGGGCTTTGGGTAACAAACCTCAGTGGTTCCTGTTGTACCTCAAAATGAATAAATAATCCAGGCAATCTGTGGAGTATTAATTCAGTGTCTTCCTATCCCCAGGCTCACTAAACAGAGAGCTGGTGTGTGCCAGCAGTCTTGAGTCTTACAAGATTCTTTGCTGCTTTGTGTACCTGAACTTAAGTTTTAAGACAGTTTAAGCTGAATATGCCAGGGTGATGATAGAAGGGATGATACTTCTGTGCTCCACTGTCATCCCGCAGGGCTTTTCGCTATTGACAGTTATATTGACATCAGCGTGTCATGGAGCTCAATTATATATGTGTCACGGGGAAGAAAATGGAATATTCCTAGGAAGTTGAGTAGAGTAATTGGTAATATTGCCCATTTATTACTTTGTGTTTTTATCCTGTCATTATTGCTTGTCTGCTTCTTTGTCTTTTAAAATACATTTCTCCAAGGCAAATTAAAGCAGTCAGGCGGGGATCGGAAGGAACACTCATCACACTAATTACTCAGCATGGGGTTTTTCCTACTTCATTGGTAAAGCACATGCTGTCTGAGATCACGGAACAGGATGTTACTCCGGCACAGAAAAAAATTTCCAGCCGTTTTGGTGACCTGAAATTATTTCGGCTTGCTTGTTTTACAGTTGTTCTCTTCTGGCACTGTCCAGCTGACAACAACTTCACGGGCAGAGTTTGGTGATTTTGATATCAAAACTGTACTTCAAGAAATCAAGAGAGGAAAAAGAATGGTATGTATCTGCAGACTCTGATGAAGGTGTTAGTGATTCTGCTAAGGTGTGTGTAACTCTGTTCCACAAAAGGAAGGAGGCAGTCTTTTCCATCTGCTTATATATAAAAATATATTTAAATATATTTTTACTTGTGGGATGAACAGCCAGATAGGGATCACCTCAAAATTAGTGGTGTTTGGGCACGTGATATTTGGGGTTCTTTATGACAATGTACATAGTAATTATTGTCATAGAATCATATGATTCATGTTAGCCTTACTGTAACTATAAGAGAGGAAGGGCTTTGTACCTTTGTTACTGAAAACACACCTTGTGAAGCTACAAATGAACTTAGAGAATATGCTGTTCTTGCAGGGAACATACTCTCTAACATCCTGGAACCAAAACAGTGTTTCCAGTTGTTCTGGTGTTTCAATAGAAAAACTTATTAAGGTCTGAGAGGTGGGGATGTTGGTAAAATGTCACATTGTATTTTATTAAAATTCAGGGTGTTTTTAAAGTGCTAAGAAATTTATGGAGTGTCAGGGAGAAAACAACAATATTGTTCTGTGAAAAAGATAATTTAATGCTCTTCATATATGAATATATTAACTTCAGTGGCAATAAAATGATCTTGGAAATGCAATAACATGTGCAATCATGTAGCAATTTTTAGTGCAGTGAGCAGGTAAATCCTACTGTTCATATTTTAATAGGTTGGTATTTTATAGTTTCTGGTTTACAATGCCTTTGATTAACTTTTCATTGGAAGGATGATCTGCCAGAGATATTACTCTGTTTCCAAATGGTATCCATAAATGTGAAGAGCACTAAACTGAATACTAAGAGTCGAGAAATAGAGGGGCTGAACGGTGCTGTTCTCTTCTTTCCCCTGCACAGAAATGCACACTCTGCAGCCAGCCTGGTGCTACTATTGGGTGTGAAATCAAAGCCTGCATAAAAACATACCATTACCACTGTGGAGTAGAAGACAAAGCTAAATACATTGAGAATATGTCACGAGGAATTTATAAGTAAGAACCTATGTAATTCTTGAATCTATGAGAGTAAAGATATTTCATGGCACTTTTTATGCCTAACTTGGCTAGTCAATTATGTTATTAAAAAGGAGGATATTATTTCATTTAAAGTGGTGGTTTTAAGTAATTGTTGACTTTGCAAAACATTTCAGTTACTATACTAATTTAAAATTTCTGTAGTGGGGTTGTAATATGAAAAGTGATAAAATTAATTGACTTGTAGTATGTTTTCCTCCTTGATTAATCTGTAATTTGTATCAAAAAAAATGTATGACATGATTCCTCCATATTGATATGTTTATAGCTTACTTTTGGGGGTTTTTTGGGCCCCCTGACTTTCCATCCTTTCTGAAGTGCTGTGAGTTGACTGCAGCTGAGTTGTCGTGCTGTGCCCACGAGAGGGCATTCTTTGAGCAGTGCAGTGGCAGTTCTGGAAAACTAGGATTGATCATAGTTTTATTGGCTGGCCTTGAACCTTGTTTTCATTCTCAGTTCAACTGAGAATGAAAATGTTTCATTCTCAGTTGACTGAAAACTATGAATGACTTAAGACTTAGCAACTGACTTGTAGCACATCTCAAAACTAGTTGAGAGTAAAGTTAAGTTTTGATGGATATTTTCAGTGAAAGTCCTCACTCTTTCTTTTATTGTGCCAGACTCTATTGTAAAAACCATAGTGGAAATGATGAAAGAGATGAAGAGGATGAAGAAAGAGAAAGCAAAAGCCGTGGCAAATCAGGCACTGACCATAATGACATTCCTCAGCAGCAGCTCAATGGAAACTAGGTATGGAAGTTACTCCTGACAGATCTGTTACCAAGACTGAAACGCAATATACATTTAATGTAGTTTATTGCAGTGAAGTATTTAAATCTAGTGTATGCAGAAAAGTACTTTTTATTGGCATACTGTAGAAGAATGGGGAGGATTTGTTGTTTTTTAAATCCAGCTGACTTTGTAACAGTGTAAGAAGGGAGGCCCTCATTTCTATTGCTAAATGTAGATGTATTGTCAGAGCTGCTAAATGCTTTTCTGTACAATTTTAAATTTACTATTGTTTTCATCATTTTTTAAACAGGTTCAAGGGACAGAGTTATAGAACTGGGAATGGCTAAGACATCATAACTACTAATTCTTTTAAATTGTTTTCTAAGATCAGAAAAGGGTTAGTAACTTTTTACTACCCGACTCTGTTAGAAATTTCATTGAACTGCCTGAAACGTTCATGTGTGTGAGCCTTCAGTAAGTGGCAGAGTTTTACATGTCAATATTATGTAGTTTGTAGTCTGCAGTGTCTGGAAAAAAATGAAACACTATATAAATGATATGTAACATGTACAGTGTCAAAAGTTAAGGCAGACATTGAAATGAAGTAAGATCTATATTTCTGGACTGAATAAAAACCTTAAGATTTGGAATGTGTAAGTTGTTTAGTGGATTCACGCAATGAGGGAAGGTCTTAGCTAGTTTAATTAACAACATGGACAAGTTCGTGGTGGCAACGAGCTGGTACTTTGTGATTTTGCATTTTCTTCCTGCACAAGTTACGGAGGCCGTACCTGGGAAAGCCGCGCTCTGTTCTTGCTTGCGAAGCACAGTAGGAAAGGACTCTGTGTACACAAGGCACGCTTGAACATTTCAGGTTGTTCCTGTTGCGATTGCTCATTCTGCCCGGCATTGTTGGCGGGAGATTTACTTGAGCAGCTGTTGGTTCTGAGCTGTGAGCTTTAGAACTCATGCCAAAGGGCTGTAGTTCGTTCCTTCCCCAAGGACCCACCTCTTTCTGTGTCCTGATTTACAAAGAACACTTCACCAAGTGTGACTAAAACCTTACAAATGTTTGGACTTTGCAGCCCAATCTCTACCATTTCAGAGAGTTACAACTCTTAACTCACTATGGAATTTAGCCACCATATCTGACGTCCATACCTCAGGTGTTCTCTGTTGTGTGGAACACTTCATGTTTTGTCGAGAATATGCATAAAGGTCCCATATTCTGTAAGAAGATTGAGGAAACAACCTTTTTTTCTAGATTGGTATTTATTTTTTAATCTTATGACCACTATATGAGAAACGTTGCGTATCATCCTTATTGGTTTAGTCATTATTTTTCCTTTCTCTGTCAAGTCAACAATCACATAATGGAATTCTACTTGCAAGAATTTGATGTTCCTTTAGGGAATGATCAGATCTAGGCTATACCAAACCTAACAGAACAGTCCTCTGACTGCTTTCAAAACACCTTGTCATTTCTAATGGGTACTGGCTTCTTCAACTGGTCTGGTAAAGCACATCCTCAGACTTAAATAAAACCAAAAAGCTGAATCTAGTCCACATGTTTGTCTGTTACTACCGCATCACCTTATTGTTTGTTTAGGGTTTTGACTTGTTTCACTCTGAACTCCCAACAAAACTTCTGGATTTGAAGGAAGGAAACAAGCAAAAGACACTGATTTGACTATAAACTGCTACAGTTCTTCTGTGATTGGTATTGCAAAAACAGTTTATTTGTAACATGAGTTTCTGTAGCATTTTTTACTTGTATTTTTAAAAGATTTAACGTGTGTCATTTGTCTTCTTATGCATTCCCTTAATGTCTTGAGGGTCTCAATTACTGTATATTGGAATTTCTAACATTTTACCTGTTAGAATTCAATCAATTCTGTTTGCTTTCCTGGAGAATAATGCCATTTGGAAAGAGATATTGCTGTGTACAGAAAATATTCAGTTACTGCTCTAAACATGATGCCATTGATCATTTTTATTTTGTATTTGTAACTTTCAAAATTAAAAGCGTGACTTGAATTGCAATGACAGATCGATTATTGAAATTGTCTATCAAGGTGTTTTGTTTCTCCTGGAATATGAACATTTTTCAGCCACTCAGAACAGTTTTAGAATGCAAAATAGCATCCTTCCATATTTAAATTACTTCAATTTGTGCCTCGGACATGGCCCTTCCATGGAAAAAAGGCACTTTGTTTGCAGCTACTGTATTTAACTAAGTTTGCATGGGGTAGATCTGCCAGCATACTGACTATACTTGAGACTGAGCTCTAATTCATTGTGTGTCAGTGGCTTAGTATAATATTCTGTCCAATAACCCACCTGTTATGAAATAAATGACCCCATTCCATGCCTGGAAGAACCAGAACAGCACTTTACCTTCAGGTAGCAGAAAAGCAAGTGGCTGGTTTCCCTGTTACCTCTCTGTGCTGAGGTGGCCTGACTGAACTGTCATCAATTCAGAATTCATGGAAACAAAGTCAAAAGCAAAAACCTTTTCTTACAAGCCTCAATTTTGTCATAACTGACTTCAACTCATGTATGCTGGGTAAAAGTGCCTTACAATGTAAAAATTGTATTTATATGTTCCCAAGTAGCATCACCTGCTGGGGAGTAATTCTGTCGTGGTGTTAATATT